TTGAGGTAAAAAGGCCCCTCTAAAAGGAAATAGCGCAAAAAAGTATCTATCTGATATGCCTATTACAAACGTTATCCTGATCTCATGCTCCCACCTATCTTAATTAAGCTTTCAGCCGTAATAAAAATACATCCGATAATTAAAAATAAAATTATGAAAGGTAAGCAGATAATCTATATAATAAAAAGGATACAAAGTTGTGGAAACTTAGTAATTAAACAAAGAGTAAAAAAGTCAATGTGCAGCTAGAAAAGTTAAAAAGACCTCTCATGCTAGTAAAAATAGAAATGGTTGGCTGAGGCTTATCATTAAAACTCAAAACAAAGATATTAATCAATTTATTAAGTATCTCTAAGATTCAATTGACATCTTGGCAGTCTTTTAGACCAGATTAAACTAGGCAGCTGTATAAGTCAAGCAAAGCACAATGTTTAAAGAAAGATAGGTTCCTTTTTTGATTAATACTTTAAGCATTAAATAAACACCTTATCTGTCATATATGCTGGTCCGGTAGCGTTTATGGAGGAGTTCGTAAGGTGCGAATAGACATTGTCCAATCTGGCCATGTCAAACTTTTCAGTGGCAAATCGAACTAAGCCTTCAGAATGGATGTAAACTGTGAATGCCGAATATGATAATACCAATGCGTAGATCCGCAGATCAAACTTATAACCACCAATTAGTAAAGGGTCAGTAATGTAGCGTTGTACCACACAGCGACCAGAAAATTTCAAGTCAGTCAGGCTATCAAAGATTAAAACGCCGCGCCCCCTCGAAGCCTCACTTGGTTTCAGAATCCATACGTTCGAGGAATCTTCCAGCTTGACAACGCCATGTGGCTGATGGACCTCATGATGGAAGCCCAAGACATATTTCTTTAAAGAATTAGTCGGAAAAGAATTAAAGATTTAAAAAATTATGGATAGTTATTTGAAAAGTGATTCTATTCTCAACTACTCGAGAGACAAAGCTTTTATGCAATAAGAAAAAATGAATTTTGGAAAAATTTGAGATCTATTCTTGGTATCTTCCAGTAAAACTGTGGCAGAGGAGCAAATTAAAGCGAGCGATGCGGCAGACCTAAGAGAAATCTTAGATCTGCTTGATGACTACTCAAAGGCTTTAATAGAAGACATCTAAAAGTAGGAGATAATATGATGTGGAGAAAGATTTAGGTATTATAGTAAATGAAAATCGAATATACTCTAGAGGATAAATTACATAAATCAAGTAATAAACTAACGGTTTTAAAAGAATTTATTAAAATTGTTTAGATTAATTAAGTTTGTATCAAGACATTTAAAATTAGGAAGGAAATTCTGTAATACTTAGCCAGATATTGTAAAGTTTAGGCTAGCAAAAAAAGTCAAGAAGTGCAGATTTTGGGACAGTTATATCAAGAGTTTATAATGGGAACCTACTATAGACATGAAGAAAAATGATGGCGTGACAGTGTCATTTAGCATAATTGAGTTAGTTCGACATTGTTTTCGCAACTTGGTCGGAGAGTCAGGGAGACCTTGTAGAACGTACATAGTCCCGTATCCTCCTCCACAGTGTTCGTGATTTCCAGCATTTGACCATTTGCTGGGTACATTCCCAAAAGTTTCGCCGGCATCGTCAGTGAGAGGCGCCATCATAAGCACCGAATTACAACTTATCAAAGTGACAAGTGAAGGCAATCCCCTCGACCAATTTTCTGTTCAACCTTTGTGGCATCCCTCCTCGCCCCTATTTTTGGTTCTTCCTTCTAATATCACATTTCTTTCTCTCAACTTAACTTCATATGACCCATCCATTTATTCACACAATTCTGTGCTCTCGTTTCCTACAATGTCACCTAAAAGTGTGTCGTGACAAGTGGGTCTGCGGAAGCGTGATCAACTCCATCACCAGCACCAGATGAAGTTTGCAGGACTCCTGATCTACATTCTTCCCCCTTTTTTCCCCTATTCGCTTGTGAATTGGCCACTGTATAACATCAAAATCACTGTTTGGCTGCTTAAGAACCCTCTATTTCCGTCCTCGATTACGCCATATTCGAGGATTCAGAGTAGATGATGTCCATTTCCATGCCCATACACATGCCAGAGCCCGGCAACCTTCCTCTCCATAGGCTTCAAGCCCATGACTCGATTATCCTCTCTCTCATTCCCACCCACATTGTGTCCGGCTTAAATCGGAACCGCGGGTGCTAGAATGCACCCCTTCCCTTTTTCTCCTTTGAATCACGAAAAACAAACTCCTCTTGTCTCTCAAGTTGACAATCCCGTCTAAACCTAGGGTACTGGGATGATTTCCTTGTGTGTGTGTGTTGGTTGACCTTCTCCTGTAGTCGGGCCTGTCATCAGTCACCTCCCTTTCCGACACAGATACGAAAAATACAAAGGAAACTTATACACACAAATTAGTGGCCTCTATCTAGCCCACATATACCTTTAGCTTTTAATTTTATATCCTACCTCTCACAGATGAACCTCCTGGGTAAATTTTATTTTGGCCACTTCCCCGTCTGATTCCTTCCACTGCAGTTGCCTTTTCTTGACTTCCCTCTGTTCCTCATGAGCCGCTCCTTGGTCATGTTTCTTCCTGTTGTTTAACAGTTGTCCTGGGTCCAAGAAACTTTTTTAAAATGTATTTGTTGAATCTTCTAGTTTGCTCAGGCAGTACGCTAAATTATCGCTGACTCTTCCCTCTTCCAATCTCCTGGTGAAGAAGGTCGTCCTCTCCTTTAAGATTGTACAAATGTTCCAGTTGCATAACAATTGCCGTAGCTTTCGAGCCAATTCGCAGAAGGGTAAACATATCCATAGTTTTTCCCCTGTTCTTCTTGCTTCCCTTTCATAATATCTGTCCTTCCATCTTCTCATTATCATCCGTATGTTACGTTGTACTTATTATTCTGGATATTTGTTTCCAAGAAACATCTGAGTTAGTTTTCCCAGTTCCTTTTACCAGAACTCAGAATCAGTTAGTCGTAAACTACTTTGATTATACTAAGCAGTATTCCAATCTTCATCCCATAAGTATGGCTCGACTGTAGTCCGGTGAATTCTTTTTCTCCTGTGATGTGAACTGTACATCAAAGCTCACCAAAAGTTCGTCTCCTTCCAAACTGGTGCCTTTGATTCTTCGGTAAAAGTCGTATGAGTTCTTTACTGTATTGGATAATCTGTGATTCACTTTCTTCAATTTGAGGCAGATACATTTCGCCAGTTTGTGTGCTGGTCCGTGTTTGTTGGTGAATATCAGTCTTAATGATTATCCATATTTTCTTAGCTTCGGCAACCCGAATAATACTGGAGCTCTTGCATTCTTTCGTATGTGTGAGTTCATTGTCCATTTATCTATTTACTTGCTCCTATTTATTTACTTCAGTTTTACTTGCAGCGTCCCTCTTATTTCAATTGTTGGGTCTTTTGCTAGCAATTGATAAGCTGTAGTGTTTCTGCAAATATTATCTATTTTCTCCATATATTCCTTCCTTTCCCTCACCAGTGTGGCACTTTCTTTGTCGGACTGTAGAACTATTTAATCTTTTCTTTTCAATTCTATATATATCTTGGTTATATTGTCCCTATGTATGGGCTCTTGATGCGCCAAGATCATTGGGACGATTTCCATTTCCAGCTCTATTTTAGATTTTTCAGGTAGCTTTTCAGAGGTGTAGTGAATTGTGA